GAGAAAGCCAGAGAGTTCCAGAAAAACATCTACTTCTGCTTCATTGACTATGCAAAAGTCTTTGACTGTGTGGACCACAGCAAACTATGGCAAGTCCTTAAAGAAATGGGAGTGCCTGACCACCTTATCTATCTCCTGAGAAACCTATACGTGGGACAGGAAGCAACAGTTAGGACTGGATATTGAACAACTGATTGGTTCAAAATTTGGAAAGGAGTACAAGAAGGCTGTATATTGTCCCCTGGCTTATTTAACTTATATGCAGAATACATCATGTGAAAGGCAGACTGGATGAATCCCGAGACAGAATTAAGATTGCCGGAAGAAATATTAACAACCTCCCATATGCAGATGATACCACTCTGATGGCAGAAAGTGAGGAGGAACTAAAGAACATCTTAATGAGGGTGAAAGAGAAAAGCGCAAAAAACGGTCTGAAGCTCAACATCAAAAAAACTAAGATCATGGCCACTGGTCCCATCACCTCCTGGCAAATATAAGGGGAAGATATGGAGGCAGTGACAGATTTTACTTTCTTGGGCTCCATGACCCCTGCAGATGGTGACAGCAGCCACGAAATTAAAAGACTCCTGCTTCTTGGGAGGAAATCAATGACAAACCTTGACAGCATCTTAAAAAGCAGAGACATTACCTTGCTGACCAAAGAAAGCTGATCGCTGAAGAATTGATGTTTTTGAACTGTGGTTCTGGAGGAGGCTCCTGGACTGCAAGGAGAACAAACCTATCCATTCTGAAGGAAATCAATCCTGAGTGCTCACTGGATGGAGAGATCCTGAAGCTGAGGCTCCAAGACTTTGGCCATCTCATGAGAAGAGAAGACTCCCTGGAAAAGACCCTGATGTTAGGAAAATGAGAAGGCAAGAGAAGGGGATGACAGAGGACGAGATGGTTGGACAGTGTCATTGAAGCTACCAACATGAATTGACCCAACTCTGGGAGGCAGTGGAAGACAGGAGGGCCTGGCATGCTCTGGTCCAAGGCGTCACAAAGAGTCGGATAGGACAAAATGACTAAACAACAACAACAACATGAGAGGATAGGAGGAGTGGAGGCAGTTAGTCAATCAATTGGTGAGTAGAAAAGGAGAGTGCGAGATGTGAAGGAGAGAGGTTGAAGATTAAGGAGAAATAGATAGAGAAATACTGTAGAGAGAACTGATATTAATAAATATAAACTGGATAAAGTGAATAAATAAGGCAAATTGTGATTGAGTGTGTAACAAAATATACGAGGTTTCAATGATTTTGATTCCATACAACGATTAAAGAACCTCTATGATTCAGATTCAACCTAATATCTTTTAATAATCAAGTTCTGTTGGCAGCAGGTGTCTGATTATAGTCTTTTACAGTGTGTATAGGAGAAATCCACTGGTGGCAGCGAAGGAAAGAGAGAATGTCACTAGAGTGCACCTTTGGTTTGGGGAAAACAAGCAGGGGACACTGGGTGAACGTCACAGTCCCGAACCTTTTCTGAATTGCGGACCGATTGGAGGAGTGGAGTCCGTGTGGGGGAGGCGGGGCACCCCCTGTGCTTGCGGATGGGTGGGGCATGCACATGAACGGAGAGGCGGGGTGCACTCGTACAGGGGAGGGGCACCTGTGCATGAGGGGGGAGTGCAGGTGGCAGGAGATATGTTAAATGGGCATGGCGCACGCGCAGGTGGACACTGCGCATTTGCATAGATGTGCATGTGTGCACCCCGCTCACCTGTGAGCGTGTCATGCCTGTGCTTGAGAGCAGGGAGTTCCCTCCGCACATGGACCCCTCCCCCTCGGTCCGCAGTTCCAAAAATGTTAGGGACATGACTGTATTTGAATAAATGTGGATTGTTGTACATGAAAAAGTAAAACATCCCCTGATATATGCCCTAATGCATTTTTGGAGCAAAAATTAATATAAGACACTGTCTTATTTTTGGGAAAACACGGTACCAGCTGACACAACATAGGGTTTTGTGGCACTTTAAAGACTAATCAATTTTTTTTGGGATGAGATGCGTCTGATGAAATGATTTTCCTTAAATCTTACATCAAAGAGGACATTGAGTCTCAAGGTGCATAAAACTCTTTTGTTCTTAATTAATCTATGTTTTGTCAAGATGGTTCTGACTAATGGCAGCCCTTGCCAGGATAATTTCCTAGGTATAAAATGCATATATTGTAGTTTCCAAGCCCTTTCTTCTAGGGGAGTTCTAGGACTGTGCAGCTTGCCCAAGGCTATATGGGCTGGCTCTTCTCCCAGGAGAGATAAAGGGAAATCAGACTCCCAAACCCTAGATTGGCAACAACTAGGTAATCCAAATAACTGATCTATTAGTAGGGAAAAATCTGCTGTGCACCAAGTATTAAAAGACTGAGTGCTAAACCCAGAAATCAAGAGACTTGCATGGTCTTGAACTTTTTAATTCTTGATTTCCCCCCCCCCCTTCTTTTCTTCCTTCCAGCTCAAAGACATGTAATCACATATATGGAAGATGCAGTGAACCAGCTCTTGGAATGCAAAGAAGACATTAGTCAATTTGGTGTTGCCAGATTCTTTACTGAATAGTAAGTACATATATAAATGGTGTTCTGAAGTACCATATTAATTTGTATATAAGATATGCTTTGATTTAAGTGAACTATGCTCAGTTTATTTAAGAAATATGTACAACTCTTTCCTTCTGCCTTGCTGTAAAAATTATCCATTTATTTCACTAGTTAAAACTTAGCAGAACAAGCTAGGTTATATTGGTTTCAAAAGAACCAAGTATGTTTGATATTAATACATTTATTAAGTAGTGATTAATTAATTGGTCTGGTTCTGTCTGTACTTATTTTGCACATATTGGTCAGTGGTTTGGTGAGTTAGCACCTCAGTACTATTGATTCCAATGAATGTATTCCAGTTGCAACTTTCTTTGGTGTAATAAGTCACAACAAGAGTAGATCACATGAATTAATGGAACTTGTGAAAGAGAGTTGACTCACTAAATCAATGGGTCTACTCTAGTGTGAATGACTGTGCTAAATGATAGGATTTCAGCCTTTTTGTCACAAGTCCATTTGATTCCATTTCTAATCAGTCTGTAGTTTTTAGAACATACAGTGGTGCCTTGCTAGACAACGACTCTGCTGTACGACGAATCCACAGGACAGTGCCTTTTTGCGATTGCTATAGCGAATCGCAGAACAGTCATTCCTATGGGGGAATTCTGCTGGACGTCGATTAGGTCCGTGCTTCGCGGACCGTTTATTCGCAAGACGACAATCTTTACAGCTGATCATTGGGTTCCTAAAATGGCTGCCCTGTGTTTTCCGGACCCATGCCTCGCAGGGCAACCATTTACCATCTGATCGGCGCTCGGAAAATGGCTTCCCTTATGGGCGATCTTCGCTGGATGATGAGGTAATTTCCCCATTGGAGTGCATTAAATGGGTTTCAGTGCATTCCAATGGGGAATTGTTTTTCGCATGACGACGATTTCGCTTAACAGCGATTTTCCCAGAACGGATTTTTGTTGTCATGCGGAGCACCAATATACTATACATTCACACTTATTTGGAAGAACTGTTTATAGCGGGCACATTTTGATACATTGTCTTTGAGCTGAGGGTAGCATCACACAATTTTGTACAATATCTTTGAGCTGAGGATTGTATTGCACAATTTAGAGAGGTACAAAATCTGAATCATAACAGTATCCCTATACCCATTGTAGTCTGGGAAATAAACATTTACTGTAGATGGTTTACTTAAAAATGTGGTCCAAACAAAATTTCCTCCCATCCTCTATTTATTGTTATTGATTTAGCTTAAGTGAATTAGTGAGGACAACTGGAAGCTCATTGGAGCAAGCCCAGGGTTACTAAAATAGGATCTATTTTACAACAACAAGCCATGTAGTAGTGGTGTGATTGGATTGCAAGAACTTGGAATATGAGGAGGAGGCAAAATTTCAGAATCATGTACCAGTGAGTATGACTCTCACCATTTTCCATTCCTCCTCATTTGCAATGCTTGTGTGACCTGGTCCCACTATGGACTTGTATTATTTTCTGATTCTCTTTGAACTTTGTCCTGTGCTCTTCTTCTCTAGGTGGAAGTATCCTTTCTATATATTTTTCCATCATGCTTTTGTGTATTTACATGAACGAATAATATAAATGGGCTTCTCTTTTTTGTACTGAGTATTTTTTATCACCAAATATTTTGATTTATTTATAATTTCTTTGCATCTGTGACCCTGTTTTAGTCCTTGTTTCAGTTTCACTCACTAGGATGCAAAAATAGTCAAAATTTAACACACTGAGGATTACTTACATGATGAAAAATTGCTAAATTTGTTTTCTCGCACTCAGGTTGTTTTGTATTTAAGTGACACAAGATGCTTCTTTTGTGCCACCAAATTGCTTCCTACATTCATTGTTCATCTTATGAACTAATTATCAACAAAAGGCATTGGAAAGATGTGCAGCAACCCAGTACACTTTCACTATATCCTATACTACATTGTGATGAAATGTGCAGGGCAGGAGGTGGGGTGGGGAGCAGTTTTGGTTTTTTGTTGTTGTTGTTTTTACTATAACAAAGCTCAAAAATGGTCAAGTTGGATGGAGTTTTCCTGACATCCATTCTTTCCTTAGTGTAGCATAGCAATGTTGTTAAGGGCACAAGTTTGTCATTGCTGCCCATCTCACCCATTTTCCTATCCTGTTTTGGCAGTTGTGCCAAAAAAGTTGTATATTGTGGTAGTCTGTCTGTGTGGTTGCTCTGATGGTGTAAGTTGTACTCATCCACTCATCCTGGATTGTCTGAGGTAGCAAGTTTGGAGTCTCCATTTCAGGACTTTACTTTTACATACACCCTGATAATGAAACATGGAGTCAGGATCATTTTTTGAACTTTTCCTTTTTCTTCTCTTGTCTTCAAACTCTGTAGTACCCAGGTTGAAAAAAGCTCCAGTTGAATTTGAAACCTCATAAATACTGATATTTTAGTGGTCCAATAACAAATAGTACCCAGCCTTGTATTCATACTTTGTAGAAGAACTACATGGCTTTAAGCTCCATGTAACTTCTTGTGAATGTATCGTGAAGTCATTTATGACATCTGGCGAACCTACAGTATGAGCTAATGACCCATCCCACAAGCCGGTCATTAATAGCTCTGCTGAGGTCTTACAAACTAAAGGTTATGGCTTCCTTTATTGAATCAAGCCATCTCAACTGTGTTCCTTTTTTTCCTACTGCCTTCTAATTTTCCTAGTATTGTTCTCTTTTTTCTGTGGGTTTTGTCTTCTCGTATGTCCAAAGTATAATAGCTTCAGTTAATTGAAAGTGGTCGAAAGTGCAGGCGATAGGAGAGGAGGCATTTGTACACAGCAATGCATGGTGCCGACTGGATCCTGAAATTGAACACCTTAGTACCTCATAGGTTAAATGAAAAAAATAGACTTTCTCCCTTTATTATTATGATAACACTGCTGGGCTGGTTATCTCGCCACCCTGAACAGCTGGGTGCAGAGAGTATAAAGAAGCTTGGAAAGTGTTTCATATTCAGTCTAATATATTTTATCATGCCTAGTGTGCTTAGTATAAATACATGTACTTATATAAAGTTGATAGTAACAAGCCAGGGGTGTGTGTGTGTGTGTGTGTGNTGTGTGTATATATAATTTTTAAAAAAGAAAATGTGAATGATTCAATATCCAATGTGTGACTTTGTGTTATGCTCAGCTCCTTCGCTAAAACGCGTTGAACCAGAGCTTTTTAATGACTCATTTAAAGAAATAAAGAACTTGATTCTACTTTCTACATCCTGAGCTTTGTCTCTCATTTATAATCTGACCTTCTTCAGCACAATATTAACTTTCACTTGTTGCTGCTATCCAGTAGTTCCCCTTCAAGAATTTCTCCATTAGAACTATCAAGTATTATCATCTGCTGATGTGACTATTAATACTGAAGAGAGTGGATGCATCTTAGTATGATGTCTCAGTTTTGGTGAATCTGCCTTGGGTTATCTTGCTTAGAGTCTAAACTCATAACAAAGTCTATTCTCTTAGCAGTGTTGTTTCCAGCTTGCCTGATACACTGAGTCCCTCTCACCACATTAAAGTGTATATCTGAGAAGAGGACATAATGTGCTATATTTCTTTAAATACAGATGTGAAAATAGCGATATATATATAGTCATATTTCTAATCTTGTTTTCACCATTTTCCCTGTGTATGACAGGCATCTAATGAAGAACACGTGCCAGATTGAATGCTCAAATGAAAAGCAGCAGGAGAGGGAGTTCAGGAATGTGCAGAGAGGCAGAAGGTTCAAGATGTAAGAGCTGTCAGGATCTTGGGTGTAGGGAAACAGTAGCAAAACTAGCAACAGGTGATAGTTGGCTTAAAGTACAAATGCATGTCTGTTAGCTGTTCAATGCATTATGGTTTTTTTTACTTATTTTATATTAGATGTGTACATTTAATGACTTTGTTACTCAGTGGCTTATTATAATATGATTTATTAATCTCTTTCTGTCCCCCTTTTTAATAGGATATATGCTAGCCATTTATCATTTTATTTTCTGCAACATAAATTTGTGACAGGAATAATAATTTGAAATTAACTGATCTTCCCTACCATGCAATCAAGGACCTTGGATGAGAGATTGATTATTGTTCCTATAACCAGGTAGCTGATTCAAACATGCCTTTGACAGATGTCTACTTAGTTATATACCTTTCTTACACACTGCCAAGTTTTAGTGGTCTAATCCTGCTGAAAATAAATGTATAGGTTTTTTTAGTCATAATAATATACAATCACTGTTAAACCTAGTTAGCTATATAATGACTTGTGTAGCTGGACGAAGGGAGACTAATGAACCCAGGTAACTTACAGGGAATCTGTTGATTCACAGACTCAGTGGCAGCAACTGGTGACTCATGTTTTGAACTCATGGCATTGTAAAATCATGGTCCAGTATTTCCTTGTGCTTTTGTTCCTGAAAAAAGAAAAGAAATGAAGAGGGTCCTTGCTGCCTGTGCCTAAATGATAATTCAGAGGCTTGAAACCTGTAGATATGACTTTGAGGTGGTTGATAAATGGCTTTCTGATTTTACAGAAGGTTAATAGCAGTGGCAGCCCACACTCATCTGAATTTTTTTGGTCATTCAGTTAATAATATGTACTGAAGACCATTCTCTTTTACCTTCTTAGTTTGGGGCAACATTTAATAACATTAAAAGTTTAACTATAATGATTCACCACTATGACCTAGGTTTGCTTAAATATTCTGATTTCTTCTGAAGTGATTCAAATAGCATGGGAATCTGGTAAATTAGAAGCTTCCTGGCTTGATCATTCATGCTGCAAAGGAAGGAGTGAAGGAACTGACCATGTAAAAGGGACAAAGGCTTGTTTATATCTCTGCTTGTTCTTAAGCTAAGATAGAATGGTCTGGATACAACCATATCTTTTTTGTTTATTTTGTCATATACTTGTTCAATCATAGTCTTCAATTTTATAATACACAGATTTAAACCCATAAACTCAGGTTTTGCTTTGGA